TGTGGCCTCCAAATTCCCCTAGATCCCGACTTAATCAAGGAGGCATTTGCACATGTCTGCAACCAATAGAACCCAAAGAATCTGCTTCTCATGTCCTGGTGCCAGACTTTAAGGAGACCCCAAAAATGCCATGTTAATGCCCTGACCAGTCACAGCTGTTTACTGCGGGATAAGAGGAGTCTTCACAATAGTAGGCAGGTGAAGTGGTTTTAATGTTGTGGCAGATCAGTGCATGCACAGCCTCTAAATATAGTTTTTACTCGTACTCTCCTGCGGTGGTTGTTCTGGTGACAGATAAATGTAATTAAACCTGTGCCCTTCATAACAAAGTAATTCTGGGTATGATTTTCTGCTTTAAGCGAAAGTGAAAAATAACATTTCACTTGCTAGTTTTGCTGGTAGACCTTCCTGAATGCATATAAGCAGAGCGCAGATCTGCATATAAGCGTAGAGCGTTGAATGTCTCGAGGGCTTGAATGAGTACAGGCCATAGCGGTTTAAGTGGAGCTAGTTATTCAGTGTTTATCTCCGTGGGGACCAGTTGGAGCATTAAGCCTCAGAACAGGGGTTTATATTCAAATAATGTGCAAAATCAAGATGGCTGCAAAAAACCAGTGTGAGTTGATCGTGTAGCAGATTTGGCATCTTATTTGTTGCTTCTTAGTCATATTACTTTAAAAAAAGCAAACAAAAGCAATAAGGTAATGCTAAAATTATTCACTTTTTTTTTAATAGACTGAAATGACCAAAGACAATCTGAAACTCTAAAAAACATGAAATGAATGAAAAATACAAAATTAGTTTCCAGTTCACTTGGACCTGGAAGGACACGTGCCCATTTAGTTCCCTTGTAGTGAAGTGAGGGGTGAAGGACTTTAATACAGAGTCTTGTGTTCACTCGCTGACAAACTTTATGGCGCTTGAGCCCATGCAAAACTCGCTGTAAGACTGCAGTTTGAAAGTCGTGGTTCTTTTCCTCCTTTACTAGCAGATTCGAAATATCCTGTGAGCAGCAGGGCTTTGCAAACTGAGCGCAAATCTGCTACTATATCGTTCAGATTCTGCTGTTTCTAGCTTGGTGTTTGTCTACTGTAGGAAAATGAATAAATAATCAAAGGTTTGCGTGTCACTGAGTGAGCGCACATCTATAATGAATGCTACCTAGCTGTATTGGGATAATAAATCTGGTTATACACTCAGTGTTCCTCTGTGCAGCTGACACAGATTTTTATGAGTCATTTCTAATGGGACTGCAGGAAGCTGCTTGATTTGGCTGCAATACAAAGATGCAGGAAACGGGTCTGCTTTAATATGGTAACACAAAAGGACGATAAAGTACTGCTCACATGGGTGTCTACTTGAACTGTCTCTCACTGGTCTTACTCAGCTTATTTTCATATAAAACACTGCACAGAGTCTGAGAGCGTACATGCTTGCAAGCATATTTTATTCCCACCCCCCCATACCCCCTTTATTTAATCCGATTTCTTGTACATCAACATACTATTGCCTGCATGGCTTTTTGTTGCACATGTTAATGCACTTTAACAGCTTTCTGTAATTGTTTTGTTCCCCTGTTCTCCCTCTTTTTTTTTTTTTTTCCTTTAATACCTTGGTGATAGGAACCGTGATTCTTGCAGCCTGCTCACTATGCCTGTTTTATCTCTCCCTCCCTCACACTTGGACTACATTTCCTCCTCCTCCTGTGTCTGTGCAGGCACTTTTGTCTTCATAGAGCGATATCTTGCTGGCATGGTGCCCGCATCAACTCTCTAATCTAATAAACACCATAATCAGGCCACTACTTGACTACACCACAGTTGGGGAGTTTCACCCGAGTGTGAGCCCCAGAGGCAGCAAGCATTCAAAGGTTCTGGTATGATGGGGGACCAGCTTGTATATAAAGCTCATTCTCTCTGTGTGTTTACCCTCTGCTGTATATTGCCAGTGTGCTAGCTACAGTGTGTATGCATGTTTGTGTGTCTTGCTCAGAGCATCTGTTGTGTGGATAGTCAAGTCTGTAGGCTCAGTGAAGAGCGCGGCACTAAAGGCCTCTCCCAGCCTCTTTGTGGCTCAGCAGGAGCTTCAGATCTGGTGGGAGGAGGACGTTTGAGGTGCGCTACTCGGTCTTCTCTCCTCCTGACCACACAAAGTAAAACCAGACCAAAGCCCTCCTCTCTCTGTGGGAGATACAGCATCTCTCTGTGGAGGCTGAACACAGTACTGGTGCTCTGAGCCTATTCTGATTCCCTGCTTATTCTCCTCCTCTGCCTCCTGCTGCTGCTGCCGCCTCTACTCTGGCTGCTTCTGAAAGTCTGCAGCTCCGTGAATGCACATCAGTGCCATACCAACACATTAAAGATTAGGTCTCAAAATGGACTTTTAGGACCTTTATTCTTATTATTCTAATTTGTTAGCAATTTACTGTACCTGTAGTGAATATATATACTCTGTGTATACTTGGATTAGTTTGAGTAGGTCTAGATATTAGTGGGATTACAGCATCTCTGTACTCCTCTCGCTTAGATCTGTGGCATTTGTCTTGCTAAAGTCTGTCTTCACAAGCATTTTCTCAGGAACTGTTTCCTTTTCTTCAGTTGTTCTCGTCTGGTTTCCTTATGTCTCCTCCCCATCTCCTGCTGTGTCAGCATATCACATTTTAACCCTCTTCAAAGAGAAATGGCATTGAAGAAGACATTTTAATACAGTTATTTATTTCTTTTTTTACAGGCGCAAACTTTCACAATTTTTATCTTTCAGTGTCTGCGTGGTAGAAATAAAAACCTTGAAGCAGATGGGCTACAGCAGCAGAAGACCACACTGGCTGCAACTCTTGTCAGCTAAGAGCAGGAAACCGAGGCTACGGTTTGCACCTGTTCACCAAAATAGGACAATGGAAGATTTGAAAAATGTTACCTGTTCCGATGAGTCTCGATTTCTCCTGCAGCATGCAGGTGGTAGAATCAGAATCCACCCTGCCCTGTGTCAACAAACCAGGCTGCTGAGGCATGCATGGCAGCCGCAGGCGAGTAATTGTGTGGGGGATATTTTCCTGGCACACTGTGGAGCTCTTATCGCCAACTGAAAATCATTTAAACATCGCAGCCTACCCGACTATTGTTGCTGACCATGCCCTTCCCTTTCTGACCACAGTTTGCCATGTCACAAAGGTTAAATCATCTCAAACTTGTTTTCAGAACATGACAATGAGTTCACTGTACTCAGCCAACAAATCTGCAGATACTGTGTGATGCTGTCATGTCAATGTGGACAAAAATCTCTGAGGAATATTTACAGCAACTTGTTGAATCTATGAAATAGTGAATTAAGGCAGCTCTGAAGACAAAATGGGTTCAGTCCAACACTGACAAGGAGTAAAGTGGCTGGAGAATATAAATGTATTTATGAATGTTTGGTAGTATCAGCTGTACAAACTTATGTCAGTAATGCATGATGTATATGTGCATCCTGCTGATCCATTGTTAAACAGTTAACAAGGGATAAGTAGCTCATTTCTTTTACTGGAAATTGATCACTTGATGCAAAAGTTTCCTGTGCTTCCTGCCTCCTGATGCATGTAATGCCTGCACATTTGTTTCCCTGTCTGGTTGAACCTGGCTGGCTGCCCATACACATGGAGAGCATAAATAATATCTGGATATGATTCATTGAAGTTTTTAAATATTTACTGGTTAATTTAATGGTTTAAAGAGTTTTTAAAGTTTTAGGGACTCTTAATCTTATTCTTATTTTGGTAACAGTTTTATTTTGAGGTTTGAGAGGAAATGAAGTCATCATTTTGACAGACACTGGGAAGCATCATTTGCATAATTCAGGACTCTCTTACTGCTGTTTGGAAATTCTGGGATAAGAGTAAGGAGTCATTTCAGGCAAAAGAAGATGAAAACTGCACTCTGTCCTCACAGCCTTGATAAGCAAATGGATCTCATAGGCCACTAATGGGGAACCAAATTAGTTTGACAGTGGCTGTGATGAATGAGATGAGGCCACATGAGATCCCACTAATGCAGTATAATGGCTGATGTGTGATTAGAAGCATGCATTTCAGAATGAATCATATGCCAGACTGCGAAAAGTTTGCAGAGTTTTGAACTTTTTGTTTTTATGTTTTTGCGTCCAAGCTTTGATTTATTCACTGAGAATGTTCAGGCCTTAGTGACGTGAATGTACCTCAGTAACAGCAGAAAACAACCGGAATTACTAGAAGAGTCGGACAGTTTGAGAATTTGAGTTTGAACAGGTTCGTCTTGTGATTTTTTTTTTTTTTTTTCTTTTTCTTTGAGTAACCCTGTTGTTTGTTTTTTCCACAATAAGCTTTTAGTTTGCTATTTAGGGTTTATTTTTCTACATTTTATTAAGTCACATGTAAATTTGGAGAACTGCTAAGGGGATTTTATTACCATTTGGACGAAGTCACAACAGCTGGTTTCCTCCGATTAAAGTCTAACCTGTTGCATGATTTGGTGTGTTAACTACAGAGAAATAGGAGTGGTATCAAAATATTAATCTGCTCCTTTAAGCTGAAATGGTTACATGTATCTGTGCATGAGTGAAGGTAGAGGGGTGCAGAAGTCAAGGTTTTCTCTGCTCGTAGGTTCTAATTCAATAATGACTTGCTAATCACTCGACCTGTGGTTCTAATTAAAAGTGTCATTAAGTGCTCCTTGATTCTAATCAGGTGATGTTTGGAGAGGTTTGGGAGGAGGGAGGGGGGGAGTGTTCTCACTGTTCCATTTAACCTTGAATTATGTAAAAACAACCTAACATGGTCCAATTCAGTCATCATCAGTGTTGTTGTTGATAGAAATTATGTTTACATGTTGTTTTAGTGTTTTTTTTTTTTTAAATGTTATTAACCATGTTTATTGCTTTATTATTTAACTGGTTCATGTAATGTAAGTAATTCAATTGTATTAAGATTATGTATTAATATATATGTGTATAATTTTTTTTTATTTCGTGTATGTGTGTGTGTCCAGGGGAAGGAGACGACTGAGGAGGAAGATGAAGTCGCTGTTGGGATGGAGAAAGGCTTTATGGACGAATTCTTTGAACAGGTTTGTTTCTCTCCCAATCCTGATCCTTCCTTCTCCTTTTTTTGCTGTCAATCACTTTTTCTCCATTTACACATTATCAGGCTCATTGAAGGCTAATCACTTGTCAGTCCAGGTAATTTCCTACTCCACAACATGCCCGGGTGTTTTTCCTCTGCTGATATTGAATCTAATCGTGCTGGTTTTTTTGGAGCGCTGTAATCAATCTCATGCCGTTTGTCTTCTCTGGGGTGCGTTTTTATGATTTATAACTGTTGATGTTGTTGCTGGTGTGGCATAAATTGTTCTGCATTTTATTTCATTTGAAAAAGCCTTTATTGATTCAACAAATCACATTAGTGCTCTACTCGCCCAACTCTGAATAACATTGATATTTTTCATGTATTTCTCTCAGTCTTTCCTCGTGGCACGACAGATGCTGAGCTTGTGTGTCAGCGGGGGATCGTTATTTGATCCCCGGCTACATTTGTAAGTTTGCTCACTTACCAAGCAATGAATAGTGCCGTAACAGCCCCCGAGACACAATATCAACCAAAATTAAAACTTTAAAAAGCAAAAATGCGTTCCATAAAAGTGATAAATGGATTTGCATGTCACTGAGTGAAATAAGTAGTTGATACCCAAGCAGATCTTGTTGGAGAAACCCTTATTAGCCGGCACAGCGGTAAGAAGTCACCAGGTTCATACACATCTCAAGAGGGATTTTGGCCCACTCCTCTTTAAAGAAACTCTCTCAGTCCTTTAGGTTTATTGCCAACCACTGCAGTGACAACTTCGTACATGAGTGTTCTGATTGAGGAGAGGAGGTTCTCATACAAGATTTTATGGTGCATGGCCCTGTCCATTGGTCCCTCCTGTACTTTCCTGTACCCTTAGCACATAAACAGCCCTAAAGCATAATGTTTCCATCGCCGTGCTTGACTGTGGGGTTGGTGTCCTGTGGGACAGCTGTCTCTTCCTCCAAACACTGTGGGTCAAGTTGATTCCAAAGAGCTCGATTTTGGTTTCATCTGACCATAGCACTTTCTCCCAGGCCTTCTGAGTCATTTAGATGTTTACTGACAAACTTCAGACGTCCTGTACATGTGCCTTCTTGAGCAGTGGGACCTTGGGGACACTGTGCTGTTCTTGGTGACTGGAAACCCAATTGTCTTCATTATGCAGTTTTTGGCTGATCCACCGCTTTTCTCACGATCATCCTCCTGTTATCTTTCCCCTGATGTCCTTTGACAGCTCTTTGATCGTGTCCAGGGTGGTAGAGAGGCTGGAATGCAAGAAACTGATTCTGTGCACAGATGCGCTTTATACAGATAGAAGTTGAGATCAGGAGTCTCTCAACAATACTGATTGTAGTCTTTAGATTATCGTCAATATTCTGTCTCTCTTCATTAAAATAAAATTACCATAGAAATTAGACTGTTCACTTCTTTGCACGTTTGCAAACTTACAAGTTCATCAGAGAATAAAATAATAATTTTCCACAGCGTAAATTTCTTTTCACATACATTTGGGAGCGTGTTCCCAGTGCGTGCCATGCACGTTTGCTGAGAGTACAAGCTGAACATCATTATAGCTCTCAGAGGGAGGGCCTCGTTTCAGCATGGCAGCAGTTGACATCTCCGCCCCAGAGAGAGGGAGACCCACTGGGAATCATCATTCATATGGTGCCAGGCCTGTTTTTACCCGGTGACGGCGTTCACTATGAGAACAGTAGTGTAATTTTTTTATTACTTGTGTTGTTGGCAGTTATATTTCTTGTATTATATGCGCCACTACTTTCATTTTCTAAAACACCTGGGATTTGCCTTTGAAGTATTTAAATCACCATTGCAAATGCTGCTACAAAGGTGGGCGAGGTTGAATGGCATTTAGCAGCATTTTTGAGTTACGAAAAAGGTCTGGCAACCAGCACTTTGATACGTGAGCTTTCAAAGCGCCGTGAGACAACAAACACATCGCCAAAAAGCCGCAATCATCAGTGACTGAGCTGAAAGGAGATCAATCAAAACGTCTGTATAGATATTTAATATTTCAGCACAGACAAGCGTCAAAAAGGAGAAGAAGCAGCCTTCTTTACCGACGTGTGATGGAAATATTGTTTTTATCATCACAATATTGTTGTTAAGTCATCAAAAGCACTAATTCATGCAACTGGGCAGCATATAGATGTGAGTTGATTAAATGTGCTCAGTGACTGCCTGTGATTGTTTAACACACTCCACCTCTCCACTAGGGATGGGTACCGGTGTCCGGTGCTGTGGTGTTTCGACAGAAGAACGGAGACGGCTTGGTTTGTAATGGAACGTATATATTCAGCAGTAGTTCGCCATTTTACATCTCACCATACACTTCACTTCTTCTCTCCTTCCATCATCCTTAGTCACAGAGCCCCCTACTGGTAACTGAGTATATGTTCATATTCAGTCCCCCTTGTAAGCAACCCTTCACCATCTTAGCAGTGTATGTAAACACAACATCTCTCCTCATTCTCACAGAATTCTACTACCTCAGTATTACTTAGCATGGCAACATTACTATTTGCACAGAACATTATCAGTAGTAAACTTTGCAACCAGACAGCATTTTCAATACCTATTTCACTTATAACATTACTGGGTGTTTGAACTATACCCGTGATCTTAACATACAATCTTGTTCTGGTGCCTAAATCGTCCTTTATAATGAATACTTGTACCGTTAAGGTTACTGTAGTAACTTAACAACCTTAAGTCACAAAACTCACAAATAAATCACAGTAAATCAATCCTCTATTATACTTGGACCTCAGAACTAGCAGTATGGAACTTAACATTAGCACCCAACAGCTCAAGCGTGTTTTTTTTCACTTTTTTTTCTTTTCATTTTTTTTTTTTTAAACTCATTTCATAACATAATCCTTGGTCCAAGCTGGTAACTGTCTCGGTCTGTTAGGAACAGAAGGTCTTTTAGGAGTTTCTCTTGTGTTAATTTCAACCTCGTCACCAGCCTGCAACGGCTCAGCATTCTCTGCGCGGCAGAGTGAGAGACGGGCTGCATTCCATCTCTTTCCATCACTCAAGATGAAGGTGCTCAGTCCAGTCTGTTGCTGCACTGACAGTGGATCAGTGAACTGTCTCTCTCCCTTCCCCACTCGGAAAGGTTTACGTATCCGCACCCTGTCACCGACCACAAGCTGGGGAGGTTTTGCCCCCCTCTTTGCATCAGTGTAGCGTTTACTCTTACGTTGCTGGTGAGAGACTCTGGCCCTGCATTGGTCATACTGTCCTGTGTCTTTGGGAAACGGCAGGACATTTAGCTTTGTTCTCATGGGTCTCCCTCTGAGAAGCTGGAACGGAGCTGCTCCAGTCGTTGCATGAGCTGTAGCACGGTAATTCTGTAGCATCTCTGTCACGGCGGGCTTCCACAGCTTCTGGGACACCTGTGCAGCCTGAACACAGTCCTTCAGCACTCTGTTGAATCTTTCAACACACCCGTTCGCTTGAGGGTGATACACACTTGTTCTGATGCGCTTGATGCCCCTTTCCGTCAGGAAATCAGCAAAGGCAGATGAAGTGAATTGTGGTCCATTATCTGTGGTAAGCTCACAAGGGTTTCCCTCCCGTGCAAAAACTGAAGACAAGAACCTAATCACAGTGTCTGTAGTAGCTGATGAAGTAAAGGCTACTTCTGGCCATTTGCTGAAGTAATCGACCAGTGTGATGGCAAACCTGCAGTCCTGTGACCCGCGGTCAAAAGGTCCAACAATGTCAACGGCCACATGCTGAAAGGGACCATCTGGAAACTGAACCGGCTGTAAGGGAGTAGGAGCAGTTTTGGCCGTTTTGTCACACAATTGACAGACTGAGCACGATGACAGAATCGCATGGACTTGAGTATCCATGCATGGCCACCAGTAAAGCTCTCTGAGCCGCTGCTTTGTGCGAACTATGCCCTGGTGACCTTCGTGTGCGAGGCATATCACCTTTTCCCGCAGGGACCTTGGGACCACCAGACGTGTCCCCCAGAAAACCAACGGTGATTCCACAGCAAGTTCATGTCGCACCAGGAAATACGGCTGTATCTCAGGTGGGAGAGACCTTTTCACCTTAGGCCAGCCTGAGCGGATAACCTGTTGCAGCAGAGAAAGGTCAGGGCAGTCCTCACATTCAGCTTTAAAATCCGTCAACGGTGTCGCTGTCAAGAGAGGAGAAACTTCAGCTATCTCCAAGAGAAGGTCTTTTTCAGCATCAATGTCAGTGCTGGAGTACATCAGGGGAACCCGTGAGAGGCAGTCTGCGATGACATTCTGAACACCAGGACGGTACTGCACATCATACTGAAAACACATCAGCCTTGCAGACCATCGTGCGATTCTCATGCCCGCTCTGTTCATACCTTTGGTGCTGAGAAGGGTAGTAAGAGCTTGGTGGTCAGTACGAAGTGTGAATCTGCGGCCCCATACATATGTACGCCATCTTTCCACCGCCCAGACACAGGCTAACGCCTCCTTTTCTGTGGTGGAGTACTTTCTTTCAGCAGGAGACAGTGTTCGGGAGGCGAACGCCACAACCCGCTCCACTTGATCTGGATGTAACTGTGTCAACACAGCGCCTAGCCCATAGTCTGATGCGTCTGTGGTGATAAAAGCAGGTAAGTGCGGGACTTTCCAGAAGGAGTTTTTTCAGGTTACTGAAGCTCTCATGTGCTGCCTCGTTCCACTGGAGTTCGACTTTCATGTCTGTTTTCAGCAACTGTCGCAGTGGTTCCACCAGTGTAGCATAATCTGGAATAAATTTACTGAACCAGGATGACAAACCCAGGAACGAGCGCAATGCAGCCATATCCTTTGGAGCAGGAGCCTCAGCAATAGTAGTAAGGTGATGTTGGCTTGGACGTAGGCCTTCCTTTGAGATTACATGGCCCAGGAATGTGATGTGTGACTGGCAGAAGGAACTTTTCCCAGCATTAATCTGCAGGCCGACATCTCTGAGACGTTGGAGAACAGCTTGCAGGCGTGTATCATG